ACAAAGATGAAAATGGTAAAAAGGTTGATCAGAAGGTATATAGAAGCATGATAGGATCATTATTATATCTTAATGCATCTAGACCTGATATATTGTTCAGTGTATGTATGTGTGCAATATTTCAATCAGACCCAAATGAATCACATTTTTCTGCAGTAAAGAGGATAATCAAATACATTGGAACTTATCCAATGTTAGGTCTTTGGTATTCCAAAGATTCAGATTTTACTCTTACTGGTTATTCTGATGCTGATCTAGCTGGATGTAAAGTGGACAGGAAAAGTACTACAGGTACATGTCAACTGCTTGGGAATATGTTGGTATCCTGGTACTCAAAGAAGCAAAACACAGTTGCACTTTCTACAGCAGAAGCAGAATATGTAGCCTTGGGAAGTTGCTGTGCATAGATTCTGTGGATGAAGCAACAATTGCAAGACTATGCTATTGAAGATACAAGTGTTGCAATCAAATGTGACAACACAAGTGCTATCAATTTAACCAAGAACCCTATTCTTCATTCACGTGCTAAGCATATTGAAATCAAGCATCACTTCATTAGAGATCATGTTCAAAACGGTGATGTGAATATTCAATTCATTGATTCTAAGAATCAATTAGCTGATATATTCACAAAACATCTTGATAAGTCTTCATTTGAGTATATTAGAAATCAACTGGGCATCTCTTTTCCATTTTCTTGAAGTGATTGATAGACAGGAATTTTTCAGATTCAAATATTCTCAGTCTGAACATTTTTCAGACTCACAAAGAAAGGTACGTCATTTATTCAAATTTTGGCGGGTATATTTTTGACATTTTTGGCAGGATATTTTCATAATCGTTACTTTAGGAAGCAAATCAGGTACGTATTCTAATTTTTCTGATTAATTGTGCTTAATATATTATCATGAGTGTTTGTACTTCAATAAGTATATTTCCTTCTTACATTTTTTTTGGAATCTCTTTTTATTCTAAAAATAAGTTTTCCTTCCAAAACCTATCCTCCTCCTTTATAAACATGTCCGTCACTTTTCAAAACCCTATCAGTACGATCTTTTACTCTCCAAACCTTTCCGATATTCAGAGACTCTCCTCTTCTTCCTCCAAAGATCGAAACTTTCCACTCCAAAAGTGATCAAAATGCCGTTCAAGATGGTGGCCCGTCGAAGATCTTCACGTATTCTCAACCAAGACTCCAAATCTTCATCTCCGGCAGAGTATATGGACATCTTAGACTCAGAATCCGACCATCATGAAGACCCTTCTGAAGCGACACCACCTCAGCGATCGTCGCCACCCAAATCGTCCGGTAAAACTGATTTTCGTTTTCGAAGCATCAAACGTGTGTGGGAAGTTTACCAAAGGTTGAAAAGGAATAATGCTTCTGCGTCGATCCTTAATGAATGTCTGAAAGACAACGGTTTTCGCTCTGAAGAGCATCTTGTGCAAAACTATTCTATTTACTGCACTAAATTTGAACAAGTTCCAGCCAGTTGTACACCAAAAGAGCCTTCTTCCAGGAAGGGCAAGGAGAAAGTTGGAGAATCTTCCACTCCTTTTGCAAAGAAATCTGTTCCTATAAGCCCTAAGTCCACAAGTGCCTTAAAATTTGTTGTTCCTGATGATGACGCTCGATTTTTTGATATCTTTGAAATGAAGGTGGGAATAGCATCTGGTGTGCCAGGTACAGGAGGATTATTCAGAAGTACTGAGCATAATGTCTATTATAAGTTGTTACTTGCTCGAGGGGTCATGAACAATAGGACTGTGGATTTCGACTATCTAGAAAAGGTTGGCATTTCAGTAAAGCACATGTTTGAGAAATTAGGGATTTATGAATTTTTCCTTCAATCTGCCAATGTTTATGCTGAATTAACTGCCTACTTCTATTCCAATCTTTCAATTCTGTCACCCAATTGGATTCAGTTTACTGTTGGTGACAAGAAGTTTGACTTAAAAGCGCATGAGTTGGCAAGGATAATTGGAGTCACACACTCCAATTTTACTCCATTGGCAGTGAATCTTGAAGAAGCTTCACAGGTGGCTTTTGAAAATCCAAACTTTGCTCAAGGATCCAAGTGCCATCTTTTGTACTCAGACTTGTCCAGACGATCTGTGATCTTGCATAAGATCATAATAAACTGTTTGAAGCCCAAAGCCGCCTAAAAAACAGACCTATCAAAATCAGAAATCAAGCTCATCTGGGCTATCTTAAAAGGTCAATCCTTCTCTCTCCCTCACATCATCATATTTCATATGTACAGAGCATTACAGAAGGACAATGGTCAACTGCCATATGGTGCTTTAATCACTAGTATTTTCATGTTTCTCAAAATATCTATCCCTGATAAGATGCGCCAGACCATTGTTCCCTGCATGTTTGTTGGAGAAAAAATGCTCTCCAAAATGAAACAGTTTGATGATGTAAAAGAAAAAGTAAGAGGAAACGAAGCTCAACAGTCGGAGGCAAAATCTGTTGGAAAGAAAATTGAGAAAGAAAAAGAGCAAAGGAAAAGAACCAATTCAGCCAGCAAGCAGCCTGATTCTCCTACCCCAATCAAAGTGTACAGAAAGAATAGAAAAATTCTTCTGCATGATGAAAGTGATGAAGCAGAAGCAAAGCACTTTGAAACAGGACACACTGAAGAACCAGAACATGTTCCTGAACCAGTTCCCAAAGCTTCAGAACCAGTTCCTGAAGAACATGTTTATGAAGATCAAGCACCTGTTCAGGGGGAGATTCCACCAGAATCAACCACAGGGTACAATCAGCCTGAGAAAGCTAATGTCCAAGGTCAGCCATCTGAAAATCAGAACATCCTCTCTATTCTGCTCGAGATTAAAGAAAAGCAAGCTGCTCTAGAACAAGATATAAAGAATCTACAGAGAATTATTGAGGAAAACAACAAGACTCAACGGCTTCAGGAAGCAGCAGATAAAGCAGAACTTGAGGAAACCAATGCTATGTGCTCATCCAACATGGATAAGGCAATAGGACAATGCAGTTCGAAGATTGAGGAGGCTGTCTCTATATTGGATAATTTTCAACTGATTCGTACTCCTTAAAAAAAAATAGCTTGATCTTTTTAACATTTTCTCCAAACCATCTATTTTTCATCTGGTCTGTAATATTTCTAGCAATTCTTGTTAGACTGTTTGATTGCTTAATATCAATGATTTATTCTATCATTATTTTTGCTGATGACAAAAAGGAGGAGAAATTATATGCAGATTTGCCATACTAATACGCAAGATCATATGCAAGTTATATACAAAGGAAGAAAGACACCGATATTAACAGAGTTTGCTCTTTCAATCTGTGCTTCATGAGCTTAATATGTCTATTTACTTTCAAATCAATTTCAAATTAATTCAATCTGCAGAAAAGTTTTGTCACCATAAAAAAAATGGGAGATTGTTGAGGAAAACTCCTATTGATTTTGAAGTTGACAAAACCTTCCATGTTATTGTAAATCTGATACTTGTTCTGAACTAATTTATTCTAGGTATGTATATTCTGGAAGCTCAGAAGGAAGTTATTTAGACTTTACAAGCTGGGAAATACCTTATTGAAGACCCACATAATCTAAGTTATGATATTCAGACGCTGAAATTATTCAGATGCAGACGAAGAAATTATTCAGAAGCAGACGCAGAAGTTCTTCAGACACAGACGCAGAAGTTCTTCAGATGCAGACGCAGAATTTCTTCAAAAGCAGACGCAGAATTCAGAACGAAACACAACAGCTAGTGATCTGGTATGGATTTCACAGAAGGAAAGCTTTGATCTCAATCAAATTGATTGACAATCAAAGATTACGACAAGCATGCATTACAACGGATAAAGCTTTACTTATGGAAACCAAGATTCTGATTGTATGGACGACCAGAATCAGCGAGATTCAGAATCTGTCATCCAACGGCTACTCAATCCTTTCTATACAAATCTGTCCAAGGTGAAGATTGGAAGATGATCCTCTGAAAGCTGTCCAACGGCTAGTTTGGAAGTAGAGGAGTATTTAAGGAGATCAATGAGCAGCAGAAGGAAGTACAGAATCAAGAATCAACAAGTCCAAAGTCTGAGCATACTCCGATCCTTTTTCTTGTTTTTCTTGAGCCAAAACATTAAGATCTTAAGGGACACTTTGTAAGAGTGATTGTGTGAGATAGAGAGTCCTATCATACACAAGAGTGCTGCCACTCAGAAGATGTATTTCTTCTTGATTACATAGTGAAATCCAGCCAGTAGGCTGTCAGCGTGGGAGAGTGGACGTAGGCTTGCTATAAGCCGAACCACTATAAACTTGTGTGCAGATTCTCTATTCCTTATCTCTTACTTTACATTCTGCACATCAAGAGCACCGTCTATACAATCTGTCATGAATCTGAATTTTATTCAGACTCTTCTGTGATTTGTTTTGTTTCCGCATAAATTGATAAAAATTGTTTAAGATCACCTATTCACCCCCCTCTAGGTGATCCTTGCTAGCTACATCACCTTTCACTTAAGCTACAATTACATTCTTGTCGGAACTTTGTCACATACTTTTACATGCAATATATTTCTGAGCTGTCCTATTGCATATACATGCATCGATTATTTGACCTAATTTACTCTCTAAAATCAATCATGCTTGTCATGTGGTTGAAGCTCAAAGCCAACTTTGGGCGGGGTCAATGAGAGGGCACATTGCAACGGATTAAAAAAAAAAAAAAGCGCACATTGAGTTTTGTTGTGCGATTGCGAGTGGACCACTGAATCAAGAAGTCGGAGACAGGAACCGCTCGCCACCCAAAGTGCGTGCTTAATCTCTGACCCTCGCTTTGTCGCGTTTGGCCCCATCCACGAAAGATGCTTCGTCCTTCGTACTGTATCAATGTGTCCAAAACTGAAACTTTCAGAAGAGAACTCTTGAGCATGTGGCCTCCCAAGTCAGAATAAACTACTGGCTTATCCCCATTTCAGCTCTGACCCATTCTCACTATCTTTATTCACAATTTTTGGACTCTCTCTCTCTCTCTCTCTCTCTCTCTCTCTCTCTCTCTGTGAAATCGAGAGACCCATTCTTGGCATCCAACTTTATATAGCCCCAAGTGGCTTCAGTTCTCAGTGAATGAGCCTCCCATCAAATACTTGGTCAGTTCTCCGCAAAAAGATGACCAAGGTTTCTGTGCTATTCTCTGTTGTTGTTGTGCTTGCTCTTCTGTTTGTCAATGGAGTCTTGGGGAGAGATCGCTGGCACGGGTTTGCGAAAGACGGACAGGTTGGAATCTATGAGCTTAAGAAAGGGAATATCTCTTTGAGGCTCACTAATTGGGGAGCAACTATCATGTCTCTTCTTCTCCCTGACAAAAATGGTCAGTGAATTAACTCTCTCTCTCTCTACTTGCTTTTACAGGGTCTATCTTTGTTTTGATTTTGTTCATCAACTCTACTTCTTGTTGGTTTTCTTTCAATGTACCTCAGGAAAGCTTGATGATGTTGTTCTGGGATTCGATTCTGTCAATGACTACAAGGTGAGCTCTCTCTCTCTCTCTCTTCAATGGAACGCTATGCCATATTCCCCATCTTTGCTTCTTCAGGTCCTCATTGTTAACTGTATTCCCCATCATTGCTACTTAGTCCTCATTGTTGACTGCGCGCGCGCGCGCGAGAGAGAGACAGAGACAGAGACAGAGACAGAGAGAGATTATAATATAAATTATAGAATAGAAGATCTGCTCGTTGCCATATTTTAAGAGCTAAACAGCTGTACCTATTGTCCTAGTGTAAGTATTTTCCAATATCATTCATTCATTATAATAGATCTGCCTAGATGCTGATGTGGCCATCCTGTACATCAGCTCAGACTAAAGAAGAAAAGAAAACTTGCTCGCCCGAGAAATGAGCTGTGATAGCTCAAGAACTCTGCATGTAGTACCTCCTCTCTGTTTTGACCCCCTAAATAATGTGGTCATTTGTTGGTGGCTTTCCATGTTTTCGTTCGGTTTCGGCGATCTGAGACTTCTTTAAATAATCAAATACTCATAAGAAGACCATGTAACAATAATGGGTTTTTTCAGAAGTTAAATTCGATTGCTAATGAACATCAAAATAAATATAGCGACCGTACATGTGCGCAATGTGTGCACTCATCGCCTGCTCATCAATTAATTCAGCGATATGATACTTGGTCTAATGTCTTCTGGAAAAGATTGATCAAAGTAAAGAGACAAGAAATTTCTACTTAATTTCTAGAATCGCATAGGAATCCAGAGTACTGGTGAATTCTGATAATACTTTTCTTCTCAGAGAAACTCATACCAAAATTCCCTTATTATGACAGCAAGCAAAGGGTGAGCATAAATCTTTTTTTTTCGAAAAATTTGACATAGAATGGATTGGTGTTTTCTTTTGTTTCTCTTATCTGCAGAACGATTCAGCCTACTTTGGTTCCGTGGTCGGTCGGGTTGCTAACCGAATAGCGAATGCTCAGTTCACTCTAAACGGCACCCGCTACAAACTTATTCCCAATGAAGGAAATAACATGCTCCACGGTATGAAGTTTGTCTATTTTCTAGTTTTTCTGCAACTACTCTGCATGTGACTTGATCAGCAAAGCATATTTAGTTAGGAGATATAATCTCTCGTCCTGCATCAACTTGTGAAAATGTTAGGTGGTCCGAAAGGATTCAGCGACGTAGTTTGGAAAGTCACCAGGTATCAAAAGGGTGGTCACACTCCTCAGATCGTCTTCAGTTATTTCAGTCACAATGGCGAAGAAGGTTCGCATAATCATTTGAATACGATTGTCTGTTCTCTATCTCAATGACTTCTCATCCGTGTTGTAAACCGTGAAAACTGGTTCACCCATTTTAGTCCATTTAAACATGCAGGATTTCCCGGTGACCTCCAAGTCTCTGTAACCTACACGATCTTGAGTGATAACCACTTGAGCATATCGATGAAAGCAAAAGCTCTGAACAAGGCCACTCCGGTGAATCTTGCGCAACACGCCTACTGGAACCTCGGCGGCCAGAACAGCGGCGACATCCTATCAGAAGAAGTGCAGATCTTCGCCTCCCAGATCACACCTTGTGATAGCCACCTCATCCCCACCGGAAAGATCATTCCCGTGAAAGGAACCCCTTACGACTTTCTCGAGCCGCACACCATAGGAAGCCGAATAAACAAGCTCCCAAATGGTTATGATATCAACTACGTGCTCAACAATGCTCAGGGCACGAAACTGCACAGGGCGGCGATAGTAAGGGACAAGAAGTCAGGGAGAGTAATGGAGTTAGTGACGAATCAGCCGGGCGTGCAGTTCTACACGAGTAACATGATAAAGGAGATCAAGGGCAAGGGCGGGTTCGTTTACAAGAAACACGCTGCACTTTGCCTGGAGACTCAAAAATACCCGGATTCGGTGCATCACCCCAACTTTCCCTCGGAGATATTGTATCCTGGGAAGTCATATGAGCATGTCATGCTCTTCAAGTTCACAATAGAGTCGTAGACACTAGTACGATGTAGATCGTTGGGACTTCGGAATAACACAGTTGGTTTGCTCTTTCGATCTATCCAGCATCAGGTTAGAATTTACAACTGTTTTCTGCTTGTTCAGTTTTCTGGGAGTTTCGGAGTTCGGCATTTGGTGAACAGGGCTCAGAAGAGACGAATAAATCGAGTCTAACGTGGCTCAACGGTTTTATTCTCGGCATGTTTTAGTCTTATATCAGCACGAGTATGCAATCGAGAACGGATTTCTCTGATGACTCTGAATACAATAAGCTCGGTGAATATAGCAGTTACCATGGCAAAGACGGCCGTGCTCAGTTTTGTTCTTTAGCAGCTTGTTTCATAAGAGCGCACAAGGAAAGTTTGTTCCGGAGCACGTCTTTTTTGCGTTTAAAGATACTCTTTGCAAAACCAAGAAATGATGTCAAGGGTGAACTGAAGCATCTTCTGTTCAGAAAATTGCTCCGTAATGTTGATGCTTGAACTTGGCGCATCTGTGCTGAAACTATTTTGTTGATTTGTTGGTTGAGAGGGGAAGCGTGGATTGGGCCGGGGCGGCTACGCCACCAAATGCAAATAAATCTCATATTTAGGCTACTTACTAGAAGGGGTGAGCGGTTTCAGGTTCCATCTGGAACCTACCCTCGGGTACAAGTTCTCTATTTTTTGAAACCTAGAACCTGCTTGTTGAAAATTGGAACCTGAAGCCTACCCTATCACAGATTCCATGATAGGTTTCAGGATCTAACAAATTCTTTTTTTTTATTGCATTTTTAGTTAAACAAAACAAAAATGAATACAACAATACTGAACAAGCTTGTCATTTATCAAAGAGAATACAAAAGACTAGTTTTCTTGGCATTACGGTTCAAATAAATACAACTAAAATGAGAAATTATTGCGTGAATCAATATTAGAAATGAGCAGTTCCATGTTCCGTATATGTTCCACCTATGATAATATGTTTCTCATTTTTTGGAACTTGGAACTTACCCTATCATAGGTTCAAGGATCAGTTCCAGAGTTTACTCAGGTTCCACTTGTATTGTTAATTGAAAAATTGCAGTGAATCATCACCTTTAATGACTACCACCTACTGCTATGATCTACCAACCATAACTTATATTTAGACACACGGAGAATATGAAACATTAACAAGTCATAAAATGAAAGCTCATACTAATGGTTCCATATCATACACTCATCATCTAATGCCATGAAATACCGCAGAATCACGAGAAGACAGGTTCAGGTTCCAGGTTCCAAGTTTCACCTACCTAGAACCTGGAACCTATCCGTCGAAACTTGTTCCCCAATTTTTAGAACCTAAAACCTGCCCTGCATACCTTGGAACCTAGAACCTACATATTTCCATTGATCAGGTTATCAGTTTCAGGGTAGAACCTAGAACCATGCTCATCCTTACTTACTAGGATTTGTATCAAGTCTTCCTCGATGCAAGCGTTCGTGAGGTATATTAATGGGTTGTACTAATGACAAAACATGCCAGTAGATTTAGTGTAGCTAATGATCGATTTTGTCTATCGCAGAACCTCATACAATTTCAAGGAGTCGCGCACAACTTGTATGGTTTGCAACACACGATCGACATCGGTCCGCAGCACCATTGGACAAGCATAAACTGAACAAGAAAGCAATAAAATAAGAAATCCACCGTGGGAGCAAAAGATAAATTACACGTTCGCCGTCATATGATTGGCATATTGAAGAATTCGATTAAAGAATTAGTTTTAGCTACGCATGTCACTTATCCTAAGGTGATTGTGTAAGGATTTTTTCGCATTCTCGGCAGACCTAACGATAATCTATAAAATAAAATATGCACAAGATTTGGCGTGATTCAGTCCAAACTAACTCCATAAAAAAAAAAGAAGTAAATCCTTTCTTCTCACTAGAATGACCATGTATGCACAAATAGAACAACCCAATGTCCATATTCCTTAAAGACACCTGCTCTACCAACCCTTCGTAAACAAACTGTTGACCCCAACTTGAGTCTCGAAGTCCAACATTCTTGTCGAAGCCCAGTCACTATTGAAATGATGGGTCTCGAATTCTAGGCCCGAACCGAATAACATGGAGATGGGGCGACTTGCAGAGAATCTGAGAGAATGCGAAGATGATGGTGATGACGAGTGTTGTGCTCTCTTCTGCTTCCCCGGTGGCAGTCGGCGCACGCATCACCCGTCTCGCGCCTGAAACGGGTTCGTTCATTCTTGCTTCCTCTTTCTGCTTTCACGTACTCCTTACGCAAGTTCGACTTCCGGGCCCACGTCGAAGTTCCATTTGATCGTGCTTTTTTGAACTGGTGAGTCATGCAGTGAACTGGGATGGATGCAGATTCGTGACTCGGAAAGCTTCTCTGCTTGAAAGAATTGGTCCCATTCACAGCAAAGCGAAGTTGCTCGCGAGTTGTTGTTCGGAGACGATGCCTCGTGCTTCTTCTTCGTCGTTGGTCGCTTCGACCGAGTATGAGCGAGCGAAGGAGGTTTGGGTTTGGACGGAGAACAAACAAGTGATGACGGCCGCGGTCGAGAGAGGATGGAACACGTTCTTGTTCTCGTCCCAGAATCAGGGACTCGCCGATGAGTGGTCGTGTAAGCTTCTTTTTGATGCATACTGTTTTTTTCCCCCACATTGTTGTGTTGTTTTATCAATTGGTTGAGTGAATGGATCGAGGGGAGACAAGATTGGAATTAGACAAGTGGGTAGTCAACCACTGAGTTGCTTGATTGAGGGGTGGCACCAATTTTAAACATGTATCATGTGATGCGGATTGCTGCGTAAACTATTTTCTCATAGTGGGCATTCGTCCTCCATACATGTTTGGGCAAGGAGGGAACAATCAAATGAAGCGCATATGCCTAGGAGCCATGTTTCATTATCATTAGCTCTTTAATTAGCTCATGGTTCAAATAGTCGGGAAAAGCTAATAATTTGCAAATTCTTGTTTTTTGCCTTCCTAAATGGAGGATACAGCACTTGCTTTGATAAATCCTCTCTTTGTTGAAGAGGGAGATATTTTGGATGTTGAGAAGAAAAGGGTTGCCATGGTGAGGAAAGTTGTATCCCCAGAAGATGTACAGAAGCTCCAACCCGAGAGTGAGCAGGCTCAGATTGTTGTTATAGATTTTGCAGACTGGCAGGTACATCAGTGATGCAATTCCTAGAAAATCTTGTCTTCAAATGTACTCTCTTCTTGTTTTCTACTTATCGCAACTTATCTGTGCGCTATCTGTGCTCAGGAAATTGTGTCTAATTGTTTCTTGATGAGTTGTGGGGACTATCTACTGACATGAGAAAAATTATTCTCAAGAGCACTTGCGAGAGGAATGCATAGTAGTACTTTGAAATCATGTATGTAGAGTTTTACTGAAAAGATTATTCACTTCAATATAAGTTTACTTAGGAAAGTCCACTGACGAGGGATCTTGCTTAGAAGTAATCGTGGTACATTATGCCACAAACAGATTTTAATCTGTAAGCTGGTGTGGGGCTATAAAATGACACTCGAAATCTTGTGATCGATGAGATTGCAGTACTGTCGTTCTGGTTTTATTATGCTCCCACTTATCTTTCAGGATATCGCCTTGCTTGGAGATTCTTTAATTGCTTCTGGATGCCATTGACAATTTCTTTTCCAGTTCACTCAGCGTTTGATTGCAGTTGCGCCATTTGTGGCGTTGATTTTTTTTTTCAGAATTGGGAACCATGTACTCTATATTATTAATTTCTAGAAGATTTTCCAAATTCACTCATAGCTCAAGAGAAGAAGCTAGTTATGGTCGGACTCCAATATTGAGTTTTGCCCTTATCAGGTAATACCTGCAGAAAATATTGTTGCAACATTCCAAGGAAGCCGAAAGACTGTATTTGCCATCTCAAGAAATCTCTCCGAAGCACACATTTTCCTCGAGGTATGTCCAATAGGAGACATACTATAATGTCTGTCTTTCTCCCACAGTCATATTTTGAAGCACCACCAACTCAACATGCTTTGGCATGTTGTTATTATTCTTTCTGTTTCTGGTTCTATACATGCATTTTAACTTGCCAGATTATTTTGTGGTTCTGTAGGCATTGGAACATGGTCTGGGTGGAGTTGTTCTCAAAGTCGAGGATGTCAATTCTGTACTTGATCTAAAGGTAATATGCTTCAACAGGCATCACTTAATATTCATGAAATGCTTCTGACCTTGATTTGGAATGCTAGGCCTACTTTGATAGAAGAGATGAGATCAAAAGTATGTTGAGCTTAGAGAAGGCGGTTATTACTGGAGTTCATACAGCAGGAATGGGCGATCGAGTGTGTGTTGATCTGTGTTGTCTCATGAAACCTGGTGAAGGGCTTCTGGTTCATTCCTTTTGACCATTCTGGCTAGACTTAGTTTTCTGTATATTGTTTTTATTAATTAATGTTCTCCAACAGAATGTGGTTCTTTATAGGTTGGATCATTTGCTAGAGGGCTCTTCCTTGTTCATTCAGAATGCATGGAATCAGATTATATTTCCAGCAGACCATTCAGAGTCAATGCTGTAAGTGCGGCAGTTACCTGACGATTCTTCTGTAGTTAGGTCTAAGTTCCTTAAGTGAGCCCTTTTTACTGGGTGACACATAATTTTGTTAGAAAGCAATTTTGCATAATTTACTACTAACACTGCATCTGAGGACCTCAGTCCAGTTTGGCAGACCATTATTTTTGTTACTTCTGGTTAATCATGGCGATTTCATGTAAAAATTGAGCTACAGTGTGAGAGTTGAGCTATTTCATTATTTCATAAAAACTAGATGTAATTGTTTTCAGCATGTACTTAATTAGGGAATTATACTTTTCTATAATTAAGTTATGATTTCCCTTCAATAATTGAATTTCTGAGTTCTGTAAGAGTTGAAACAATCCCTTTTCCTTTTGCTGAAACATTAGATTCTTTCTGTTCAATTTTGCCATGATTGAAAATAGTGGTTTCTTTTTAGTGAGACAGTCTGATTGTGACATAACCATACATCTGAAGTCTTAGTTATGAAATTTTTCTTTTAA